AGTAGAAGTGTTGTTCAAAGACAAATATTCTTTGTCTATTTTTTTTACAACAGATATAACTGTCACCAAATTTATACTGTCAAGATTTTGAGTTGTAAAATACATTCTAGAAAGCCCAGTTAGACAGCATAGTTGGAAGTACTGTAAAACGTTTCGGCATTACTTTGACATTCGATTCCGATGACCAAGTGCTTTGAATTTCTGGTACTTGAAGAGTCGGTTTAATTGTCACTCGCTTCGTCGACATAGCAGTCACTTTTGCGGCTGTACCAGGTTTCAAGATTGTGCTGATAGAAAATGCGTTAATTTTCTGATCAGTTGTTGTACTTTTGTCTGATAAACTTAGTGACCCTATACTGCTTAACGTGGAATGTGATTTTTGCAAACCTTCTTCTGTTTGTAAAATTGTTTTTAATTGTTCCTCTGTATTAAACTTCTTACGTGTTGAAGACGATTCAGATAACTCCAAATTACTCTCTTGTGTAGTTTCATCTTCTGTTTCAACAGAATTTTCTGTTGATGTTTCTTTTTCTTTTTTTAACATGATACCCGTTTCTGTAGCTGGATAAATAGGTTTTGTCGTCTGTATTTTTTCCGAAGAAGAGTTTCTAACTTGAAAAGGTTCTTCTGTAACAGAAACAGATGAGCCCATTTCAAATGAATGAAAAGATTCTGCTCTTGCCGTGCTGCTGTGTTTTGAAAGAGTTCCTTTCAATGAAGTCTCATGCAAATTACTTGATGCAGCCGTTTCTGTTAAGGTTGACTGCAGCCAATCAGATTTTGTTTCACCGACTAGTGAAGCTGTCTGGTAATGAATATTACTTATTCTTGAGTTTGTATATTTGCTTGTTATTTGACTGTAGTTTCTCAATGTTACGTAAATTTGCAAAGCAGCTGAAGATGGTTTTGCAGTGTTACTTTCAGAAGCAGCACTGTGAAAATTGCTTGTGCTTCTGGATTTCACATTAACACTTGTAACTGTCGGAACTGGGGTAGTGGTGGCAGTAAATAGTTCAGAGGATTTTACGAAGTCATTGTTTGAATCTGCAAAATCTTTAGAAGATATTCTTGAAGTGTCTTTTGATAAATCCTTAATTTGCGAAAAGTAAGAATTTGTTGTTATAACCTCTGGATTTATTGATCCGAAATAATCTGAGGTTGTCTGAGCATTTGATTTTTTGTAAGCTTTTGAGGATATCTTAGTTGTTGCTTTTGTCAATGCATTAGTGTCTGACGACTCAGGTTTTGAAAACGACTTAGCAGGCGTTAGAATGCGAGTTCCTGATGATGCTGTATTAGGCAACGATAAGTGAACTTGGGAAGGCGCAGCGAACTTCAGTGAAGGTACTGTGATGGAGAAGGGTGATGAGCGTTTCGACGATATTTTCCTGTTTTGCATTGTGGAAGCCACCGAAGGGTGAGCAGTGCTTGGTGAAGCAGAAGGCTGCATAGATAATGTTTTTTGTAAAAGTATGGAATTTGACATCAATGTAGTTTGCTTGAGAGGGGAGGTAAATGGCAATTTACTATGTGACTGTGTGGTAGATTCCGAAGCTGATGTGTCATGACGGAGAAGAGAACTTTTGAAGGTCAACGAGTGGTCTTTTGAGGTGAAAGTAGTATTTGATAGTCTGGAACGGCCTGAAGTTGACTCGTGATGTGGAAATGTGGGAAACGCTGTTAATGATGTGAGTTGTTCGATTTGAGAAGGCTTGAAAAATGACGTGATATTTGTTGGCATGGAGGATTCTAGGAGAGGTGTGTCGAAGGAAGTTTCAGTAAATGATTTGCTATATGAGACCATTGAAGACTTGATTGATGACGTGATCTTTAGATTTTTAAGAGTTCCTGAAGTTGACTCGTGATGTGGCAATGTGGGAGGCGTCGTTGATGATGTGAGTCGTTTGATTTGAGAAGGCTTGAAAAATGACTTGGTATTTGTTGGCATAGAGGATTCTAGGAGAGGTGTGTCTAAGGAACTTTCAGAAGGTCCTAAAAATGACTTGCTGTTTGAGACCATTGAAGACTTGATTGATGACGTAATTCTTGGAACTTCAGAAGTTCCTGAAGGTGATGTAGTTTTTAGTGATGCTGAGGGGTTTGACGGTAGTGTGTTAAAGAATGCAGTGGAAGATTTTGAAGATAGCTGTAGCGATTTGGACGGCTCTAGTGTCGGTTTTGTTTGATGGAGTTGAGATGATTTCAAAAATACCACAGAACCTGGTAAAGTAGGTTTTATACGTAACATGGTGGACAAATTTTTGCCTAAAGATGTGGGAGACTGCAATTTTGGTCCTGTAATGTAGGAAGATCTTAAAGATGATTTTGCGCTTGATGACAAGGAAGACTTCGTTATTGGCGTGCCGTCTTGAAGTTGAGAAGATTTCAGAAATAATGTAGTGCGTGGTGGTGTAAAGGATTTAAAGGGAGATGTGATACCTGTTTCAGGAAGCTTAATTAGTGAAGCACTATATAGTAGGTGTGAATGCTGCTTAAAAAAGGTGTTAGTTGACAAAGGTTTGTCTGATGTTAACGGATTGCTTGGCGACGTGGAGAGCTTTGATAACGGTGTTGTATGCTGAAGCGTATAAGGCTTCAAAAACGAAATGTAACTTGTAGGACTTGAAGGTGGCATAAAATAAGTTGTTGAAAGTTTTGCTCTTGAGGTAGTGTGCTGTTGAGCAGAAGATTTCAAGGGAAAGGTTATCTTTGGTAGCGTGTTGACTCCGTTCTGCGTCTTTGATTCGAGAGATCCTGTCGTGGTTGATAATGTTGACAATGTTTTGTTTATGGGGTCTACAGATGGTTCCTTAGTGACAGGTACTTCTGCTGTAGTTAATTTCTTGGTTGCTTCTGTCGTTGTATAAGAGTTTAGCGAAGAAGCTCTTTGTGAGCAGTTCCAGATTTTTGCTGTTTCTTCAACACACACATGATTTTCATTTACCTTATAATGTAGTTTTAGCGGTAACTTATAGAACGTGGATCCTCCAACTTCTGCTTGCAATGTAGCGAATTTTTGTACTGCTGTTCGGAGATTTCTGTTCACGGCTAAAGCAAGACATAATCAGATTGTAAAAATGTCCGTTGAATAAAAATAAGCACTTGACCTCGGTTTTTTAAACTGTGATGTTTTGTGATTTTTTTTAATTATTCTTTTTTTTGGAAATATCGAACTTCTTGGTTATTCTAGAAGCTAAAAAGTGGAAAGTAAAAGTCTAAAAGCATACTTAAGGAAAAGTCAGACTATTTGCAAACAGATTAAGCAGAATTTTCCGTTTTTTTTTAAAATTTTTTTAACTGTAGTAGGAGAAAATTATGGAAAGCAGAGTTATAATCATTTTATTGGGCGAAGTAAACAGTGATAACTCGTTTTGATGGAGTCATAATGTTTAGTCAAGTTTCAGTAATTCCTGCACACTTGCGTTCTGTTCTAAAAGGAAAGTTTGGAATGAGTTCAAAATTAAAAATCAAAAAGCGTTTTTTGCGTAGAAAGTGTTTGAAAAATCACAGCAGTAGTAAAATGTTGCAAGAAGAATAAAAAAATTTTCACTTCGCATAAAAGTGAAAATAGCAAGAAAAAAAGTTCAAATGAATGTTGAGCGGAACTACAGTTTAAGTTGCGTCGTTATAAGCAAGATAAGCAAGAGAGAAGAATATATGAGTTGTGTTTTTTAACCTATTCATAATTAAATTTTCCGCGTGAGTTTCAAATTTGTTTTGTCTCTGTTGGTTGATAGTTGTTAATAATTTTTCGCACACAGCTTTTCACACTTATAAATTATAGAAGATACAGGCAGCAATCATAATAAATTCGTATAAACTAGTTAAGCTATGGTTTTTTAACAACATTACTGTTTACTGTAGAGATTCTTTGATAACTTTTATTTGTTTTTAAAGATTTGTATACTGAACTTGAAACAGGGTTTCAATAATTACCATAACTGATGCGAGGATTTACTGCAATGATGAATAAGAAAAAAGTAGTGAAATGCCAGTGCTGTAAAACCGGTGCTATAGATGGCAGCATTCTTTATTATCACTTCAACAGTCCAACTAAGCCATTGTGTCAGCAGTGTTAACTGTAATAAAAAGAACACCAAAAATAGGTCAATTTTAAACTGATTGATTCGAACGCTTTTAGGTTTCAAAAAAGTAAAGTGAGCACAATTTGAGTAAATAATAGAATTTCAATAGTTATCTCTTTGTGAAGTTTAGTTTCTTTTTTTTTTTTGCTCTTTTTGGAACTCTGCTCGAAACTAAATTGATTTAGCAATTCCGTAATCAAAATAACAAAAGAAGAAAATGAAACATAAAGAAACAAAAGAGACAAACAAATTCTTGGTGATAATCTTGTTTGTCGGTTAATGTAACCAGAATTGGCAATTACAGAACGTTCAGATAGTTTAGGCAACAATTTTGCATTTTTCATATTTGAAAAACTGTTACTATGACTACTGTTTACCTATATATAAGCTTATCTGTTGACTGAATTAAACAAAAATTAGGCTTTCTTTTTTTAGCCAACAAACGATCAAAGAATTTTAGCTATCATTATTTTGACAATCTGTAAAGCAAAATATTTACATAAAAGACATTCAGGAATTTTTCTTAGTTTGTTAGAAATAATTTTATTGGTTGTTTAAATACTTCTTTATGAAATACTGGCAACTGAAAAGATGCTCTTTTAACAATCAAAGTCATATTTTTAACCAAGAAGTAAAAATTATGTACTGATTTTGCAGAAGAAGAAGCTATCTATGAGACAAGTAATAATTTATTATAGTCTCTTATACAGACGCAGCTATAAACTTTAAAACATTTTGAACTTAATAGAATTGCTTGGTGAAAAGAAAGTTGCTTAAATGAGAATCTGTTCAGAAGCTTTTGATTATATTACATTTGCATTATTATTCTAATTAATTTCTTATCTGAAACACACGTACAGTTTCCACCAGCAAATTATCTTACAAGTTTAGAATAGAAGTTGAAAACTTTTTTTTTTAAATATTCAGCTTGAAGGAAAGTCAAAATCAAAAATTGTTTTGCTCTTATTTCTCGCATTTTTATCTGACACTTTTTTATACCATTATTTAGTTATATTTCCGATACTGAAGCTACGTACAATTAAAAATATAACAATAATCTACATTGTAACAAGAAAGTCGTATAAACTTATCTGTTTTTGAACTGGTTGAGCTTCTAAATGAACTGATGATGTAACAGACCGATGTCGAAAACTACAGTCGATGAATTGTTAAGTTAATAACAGTTCGTGACAGAACTTTGCTGTTCCAAATTAACAACTCGGTGCTACACTCTTTTATTATCATTAATTTTATTTTTTGACAGCTTACGAAACGAATTCTGGTAAAGGGCTGTCGACGTTATCAGGTGAATTTAAGGCAATTGTTTAATGGTTGCTGAAATGCCACAAAATAATAACAAGTCGTTTAAATACTAATAAGCCTGATAGAATAGCAAACTTTAATGCAATAACTGTGCAGCGCTCATCGGCTGATCAGCAGTTTTGATTCAGGAAATGTAGAGAAGTAGAGAAAGGATAAATGTAGAAAAAATTTTACTTATAAACCGTCCAAAAAATTTAATTTGTTCTTAATGCTACTGTGACGAAAATATTTCATGCAAATAAGTGACACAGAAATATTTTTAATATATATAGCAATCTTTTTGAAATAAGAAACCTCAAAGCTGGATGAATTACCTAAACTGAACGAAATAAATCACTTCCATTATATTTGCTCATAAACCTACCGCAGCTGCGTAAAAGAGTCGGAGATAAAAGCCTCATGCATAAAAAAGAAAAAAATACATAAGGCAAAAGTACGAAAAGAAATTCAAAAACGAGTAAAATTAAAAATCACTGTTCTTGAGCATTGCATCATATCTTCTCGATAAATAATTTCTGTTTTCTTTATAAAAAACTCGCGTTGTTGCCGCATTTATTTTTGAAACGTTCAATCAACAGATTTGTGGTACCTAAACAGTTATAAAGCTCGTTTGTGGTCTTGAGTTTCGTAAAAACAATTTTTGACATGGCAATCACCTAAACCGTACTGCTTTGAAAGGTTTTTCTATAAATTTATCATATAGAGTACAAAGCGAAATAGAGAAGTGAAAGACTAAACACCGTTGGAAAGAGTATTTGCTTATTTTACTGCACTTAATTAGTAAATAATGATACCGTTACTACAGTTTATGATTTGATGCTTATAGCGTAGAGCAAAAAATTACTGTTAAATGCGGAATATAATACCGGTGGAGTATTCAGATAGTAATGCTGGTGGCGCTGATAGTCCGGATTTCAAGATTTTTTTCTAGAGTTGCAGATTCTGCCAATACTGTTTTGTGTAAAAAGCCAGATGTTTGAGCTAATATTATTTCATTTAGTGAAATAAATCTTTCTGAATGTGATTTAATAGTTGTTAATTTGGTATAATTTTTTAATGTAAAAATATAGAATAAAGCTTATCTGCTTTAGACATTTCTTCTGTGATTAACAGCTCACTCATCTTTGTTAATACTGTGACTAATATTAGCCAAATTTGCTTGTTAGCGTTCACTTTTTTTTAGACGTCATGATTGCCAGTTTTTTCTTCAGAACGCGTTTACGCCATAATTTCTTGAGAGTTTTTCGAGTTTTAATGACATTATTTCAGGTGTTTTTTTTTCTTTTCAAGTATAACATTTCAATAGCCGCAAATATGAAACAGCTAAAAACGAATATTTTAAAAAGGTGATGATGACATAACTTGAGGTAGTTGTCTGTGATAAACTGCGTTTTACTGACTCCTAAAATATGACTGTAACAAAAAGGATTACTTTTTATAAAGTTTATTATTCTTTTAAACGATAAAGAAGCAGAATTAGTGCAAAAGCTTCTTTGCTTCACGTAAAAGCGTGCAAAGTTTACAAACTGAAGCTTATTAGATACCTCTCGTAAAACCTATAACTTTGCTTCTAAAATTTTTATTCTTTTAGTTTCACTTCTTTAGTCTCATGGCACTAAATTTGTGAGGTTTTCACAGGTCGAGCCAGAGCAGATAGTTGAATCTTTAAAGATCAACTATCTGAAGCGCACTGAACAACAACGTAAGGAGACAGCGTAACTTTTAGACATGCAGCTACTAGATATAAGATTAAAAGAAGGCCAATACAATGCAAGAGGCGGTTCATACACAATATATAAGATTTAAGAAAATTCAGCATAGCCGAAACAGTTGATGGTTTAGTGATAACCAAAGATCACGCCCTTCCTTCGATGCCGATCTAAGATTCTTCTCTGTAACTATCGGGCGTCTTTTATACAATATAAACCGTGATTTTGCTATTCTTAACGATTTTTCGCTGATAAGGCACTTGGGCTTCAGAGCCAGACATCATACTAGACTGTCCTGGGTTCAATCTTGTATCGAAGGTATTGTGACAGTTCACAACAACACTGAAACCCAGTCAACCAGACCAATCTAAACGGAAATACAACACAAGTTAACATCAAGACAATAATATACCAGACCAAAATCAACAAAAATCAACAAGACTATTTCTTTTAGAAACAAGATTTTGTTACAGTTGCGCCTAAACAGATAACGCTGAAGAGTCTCAAGCATTTTGATACATTACACGTAAAATTGTTTAGCAAAAGACAACTGTATACAATTTTTAATGTGTTTTTGAGGCGATAATAATGAAATAACATTTTTGATAGGTTTTTATTCAATATAACACATAAATTTTTTAGTGAATCAGGTAACCTGGTAAATTCCAACAGCATTATATTGTTTGATAACGAAGTTAATTTTATTTTTAATAAGAGTACTTTATTCACATTTTTACAATTTTTTCAAGACATTGCAGCTCAGTAAATTTGATTTTCTTTTCTACTAGAGCTTTTTTGTAGGTTTCAGTGACTGTTTTACTTACTTCAATACAGCAGTCGTCTAAGATTTTTTTCTACAATCTAGTAGATTCGATGTTTTTCAAAATGTATT